AAATTTGTAATAAACTCTTTTTTAATATAATGTTATAGATTATCATAAGTGTCTAACATCGTTTCATGACAAAATTATGTATTTGACAAAACTGCATCTCGTATGAGAAGTAAGAGGTACTTTGATTTTGATTACAATTATAATTTATGTATAACTCTTAAGATTTGTGTTTTAGCGATATGAATCACTTTAAAATAAAATATCTATGAAGCCTTATAATTTAAATGTTTCATGGTAAAAAAAGTATAATTCCGAAATGGGAGAACAAAAAAAAAATGAAAATTCCTTATAACATTCACTTCAAGCTCTTATTGTAAATGTTAATGTTATGTTAACAAGCCAACAATTCCACCCCGATAACAGGATAATCATTCTGGAGAGTAGAAAAAGCCAAAAACCTCGGCTCCATAATAATTTCAATGAGTGACCAACGGGTAGAAGAAATAGGCCATACCAGAAATAGAGCTTTCTTCTCCTCTCAAACTTATTGAAATCCCGAAAAATCTCAAGATATCTCAATACTATGATAGAACCAGTTCTAATATATAGTTGTGAGGCCTGGACACTAACCAGAACCCTAGAAAAAAAATCAAAAGTTTGAGAGGAAAATCGTCCGCAAGATAACCGGAGCGATCAGGGATCAGAGTAATAACACATGGAGAGGAAAAACCAATAAAGAACTGCTTACAGGAACTGGTCAATCAATGTCCCATGATAGCAATCTTTCTGGAAGCATCTATGTAGCAATAGATAGAATACAATTTTGCTTCTGCTTATTTTATATATAGTGTCAATGTGGTCTTACCTCACTATAACTACTGTCCAATAGACAGAACATTGTATTACTCAATAAATGAATTTAAAATGTTTGCTTCCTCACTACCGAAGGTAGGGAAGCATTGTGTTCGTGCGAGAAATTAAAAAAAAATTTTTGCTCAGAATCGAAAATTTTCACTCGCGTTTTACGTTTCAGACATCAAGGATCAAATTTGGTTCGGTGTCTGTCTGTCTGTCTGTCTGTCTGTCAGTCTGTCTGTCTGTCTGTCTGTAGTCAAATCTATGTGACGGGCATATCACCTAGTACCGTTCATCCAATCTTCATGAAATTTTCAGGGATTATGCTGATCGGTGCCTAGATGGTCCCATATCAATTTTATCAAATTCCACCCAGCACTTCCGCTTACGCACGCGCAAACGTATATTTTTAGATATGCCAATATTTCAGAAAGGGCTCGTTCGATTTGGCTCAAAGTTAGATGGTTTTTTAGAAGTTTACGGAATTTCCTAAAAAACAAAAAAAAATTCATCAAAATCGGACAATTAGGAGCAAAGATATGGTCCCTAGTTTTTTTTAGATGTGCTATTGCAAAAGGTTTATCTTTTTTTTTTTATTTCTGAATGTGTTACTGAAGTAATGCTATTTTTTTTTAGCATATTACTAATGATTCAAAAAAATTTTAGTCCAATAATTACAATCACCTTTTATTTATTTCTCTTTATAACTAGGAATTTAATGTTACTTTATATGTATAATTGTTTGGAAATAATATATCAAAAAGAAATAATTTGCAGTGGTTTTGTTCAAATTAATTATCGCTTTATATATATATATATATATATATATATATATATATATATAAATCTTTCGTGCTGAAGCCCCTCCTCTAAAATTAAATCTTGATTCGGTAATGTATATACTATTATTAGAGCATAAGTTCGTATGTAATAATTTTCAACTTTAATTCTATGTGTATTAAAGGTGATATTTTGTAGTCTGCAACTGATATAAGTAGTCTGCTACTATGGAAAATAGCAGATGAAAATAAAATATGAAATTATTCTAATAAAGCATAAAGAAATGTTGAGTTTTATGCACTCTTGTAAAACAATAAATAAATTTATACATAAGATCATTTGAACTAACAGTATTGAAATTCATGTTCAGTATGCATGTTTATTTATTTATTTATTTATTTTTTTATTAAGCATAATCAAGTATGGAATGTTCAAATACGACCCACTGTTGTTGAATGTTGAAGGGTAACCGTTATCGGCTATTCCGATTCTGCTTCTCTCAGAGATTTTATTCTCATACGAAAAATTGTATACCTTGTAATATACAACGGAAACGGTGAGGAAGCTATACTGGCCTTACTTGGCAGACGTTTTTTTTTGTTTTCATTGAAATCGTGTTTAATAATATAAATGTCCTTGTAACAGATTGTAATATTTTTCAATAAATAAGTTTTAAAAAAAATAATAATGTAAAGTAAAGTCTGTATTTATTTCACCTTGTTTATTTTCTATTTTCTAAATAGGCTACGTTTCGGTCATCAAGCCATTTATAATATGATACAATAACTGAAATATAGCCTTTATTTCATATTATTATAATATAATTTCTCCTAAAACAAAAAACATACATGAATTTAAATATGGCCAATCAGAGGCTAAATAGGCCAAGTATTCTAGAGATTCGAAAGTTATTCATAGAAGACTTAAGCACTTTTAGTGGATTACATGGTGATATGGCTTGAAAATGGCGACATTGCCGAAATGTAGCCGATGTAGAAAAAAGGAAATAAACAAGGTGAAATAAATACTGTATTTATTTTATATTATTAAATAAAATTATATAATTGTGCGGTTTCTTGATGACCAAGGAATGTACAAAGGATGTTATGTGGTCAGATCAACAGGTTTTTCCCCAAACCTAATAAACCACCACTTACCCAATTTATTGGCCAGGGGTTGTAAAAGGAGTGCTTCCAAGTCCAAGAGTTAATGCGTAGTTGATGTAATAGGAAACGAATTCTCTATTAATTGTCTCCCTGTTCTTGAAGTAGTAATTTTTTTAAAAATAATTTATAAAAGATAATGAATATTATTTCGGTAGGAAATTAAAACAAAAAACAGTCGCCATAACGATGCTCAGAACATAAATACTGCGTCTGGGCCAATTTTCTGTCTTTGAAATAAAATGAATATAGTAGCTGTTAATGTTAGTTAACGACGTAGTCGAGATTACTAACCCCTCCATTCCACCCCTCACCGCTCTATAGCAGGTTGTATACCCCTTTATTAGTGTAATTAAAACGAGAATAGTCTCTCATCCTGTCGATAGCAATAAACATTTAATGACTTTACTTCACCTTTATAGAGTCTTTATGACTCTCAGTCAATGAAAATGGATAAAAAGAAAAAAATATTACAATTGAGTGACCTAATATTTGAATTCGACTTCTCATATATGTTGTTATCCAGAAAAAAGTAATTACATCTCGTTCCTAAGTTTTATTATTTGAGTGGAATTAGGAACCAGCTATGTAGCACTGTTGGACAATGTCAAACACAGGTCAAATGTTCAAATTGAACATCAAATACATATACTTATATTCAACAGCCTATGTTTGTAAGTGATGTTTATGTGTTCGCTTAAGCATATAAAATTAATGGAAAAATTGACTAAAAAAAAAAAAAAAGAAAACGAATGCCTGATTTTCTTGACAAGGAAAATTGACAATAAATGAAATTGTGAATTAAGATAAAAATATTTTAAAATGGGTAGAAGCTGTGAGGAACTTTTGAATAAACTATTATCAATTACAAGTACTGCCAATGCTTGGGTAGTATTGCACAGTTACAAAAGATGTTTTTGATTATCGTCCTCGGGTTGGAATTTATGATAATGGCTAGTAAAGTGTCTAGAACGTAAAAAATATTAAATAAAAGATTGTTTGCCTATTAAAAAGATTTTTTAATATGTTAAATTTTCACAAGAACCATATGCATCATCCTTGCACAATCCTTCAATCTAGCACCACACATCCCTATGATTTTCAAAAAAAGTATAAACGGTAGTGATCCCGCGAACTCTTGTATTTTGTATTTATATTTGAGTTCAATATATATTGGAGTTCTGGCAATGGCACTCAAGTCATGAGTATATTTAGCTAATGTGGTGTTGCTCAATATCCACTGGCTTTAGCGCCAGTGACGCTGTTAAGAGAGTAGCACAGGGATCTCCTGCAGTCCAGCTTTTCTATAGATAGTTAGAGGGAAAAGCATTCCTCGGAATTGTCTCGCCTGATTGTAAATAGTGTATATAGGTATGTCTATATATATATTTTTTTTAACTAATTATCTTTCTGCTGATCCAGCGTCTTACTTCGTACATAATGTTTGCTGACGTATGCAAGGTTATATTTTTATGAATGAAGTTTAGCATTGTTTTACAATTATTTTTACTGTATTATTATTTTTATTGATATGAAATACTGAATTCTGTTGCTTTATTGACAAATGCATTGCAATTATATCTTCTTTAATTAGAGTTTCCATTATTATTATTATTTCCTTCATAAAACAATGATTGTATATATATGTTTTCTTTTTTTAATTTTCTAGAAAACAAAATAAAATTTTTTTTTTATATTTTTAGCAATCATAAAATATAATATGAGAAAGCATATCCATTATTTCCTTCGTAATTATTATTTCCTTCATAAAACTGCAATTGTAAATACATTCTAGATAAATTAATTTTTGTTTAATTGTTTACGTAATTTTTAAAAAAAAAAATCGATTTTTATTCGAGTAAGGTCATGATAATGTATTTTTCCATTATTTTTAATAATTGTAGGAATATTGTATTCTTTCAGAAGTTTTTTTTTGCTCTTTTAATTATTATATAAAGTTTCCAGTATTTTCTAAAAATCACTGTTTAACTTATTTTTATGTATACTATAAATATGTTAGGAAACAATGACAAAGGTGGTTTGTAATAAAATAAAAACGAAATAAAAACAAAGGTACCTTTATTGAACTTCAGCCCATTTAAAGAGTAAAATTATTACATCTCTTTATATGTATATATATATTTATTACATTTATATAATTTGTAAACATTTTGATATAAATATTAACAGTAAACATGATAATAATGCTCTTCCAATCAATAAACAAACAGACATCATAGAATACCTATGAAAAAATACGTTCTTAGCATAACAGACTTTAACCATCTTTTCGTAAAATTGTCCATTTCAACTATACCACTGATCAAATCTTTCATTTCTATATCAAATCGTTTAATTTTTAAATGTTGAGTACTTAGTACCATTTTTGGATAAAATATATGTAAAGTTATGTACATGACAGGCAAAACATTTCGTTTCGAAAGTTATACACATGCTTGTTAGGAATCAAACTTAAGCTTTAGTCCTGAAAGTATGGCTGATCCATCCAAAGGTGCAGCCAGTGGTCACATTAATGTGAAATGTCAGTTAAAACTTTCGAAAAGTATATCTCAGAGCGACAATATTCACAGTATGTACACATTTTTCAAACATGCTCAGTGCATCGATGAGAAATTAACAACTTTTGATTTTGGTAACTTTGTTGAAGCTAATACTATGACAGGAGTTTTCGAAAAGGTGCACTGATCCAAATCGAAAATGTACAGACATTATAAAAGTCGGTTCTATTAAAAGGGAAAGATAAAATTAGAAAAAAAACATGGAGCAGCACACCACTTTTCGGATATACCCTGTGTTTCAAAATTTATATACACATACTCAAGGAAAAGATTGTATGTACAGAGTATCAGACCCTCATCTCAGAAATAGCGGCCTGAGGGACCCTCAGCGGTGGCTTGGCCTTGGGGTCCTGGTTGAGGAGAGGTTGGGACTCAGGAGGGGACTTGTTGCGAGGAGGAGGAGGAGGGCGGGGCACGGAGCCATTGGGAGGGGCCTCTTTATGACGTGGCAAGGTGGCCAGGGAATGGTGCTGTGCCACTGTGGCATGCGACCGCGGTAGTGTGCCTCCTGTCAGGATCACTGAATCGTCAACGTCCACGATCACAGAGGCCGACGGGAGAAAACTCTTACCGGATTCAAAACTTGATACCCGCTGCTGCATGTTTTTTACGTCCATCCGTGTCTTGTCTCGTTGATAATATACCCCGGCAAAGATGAGGATGTTCAGTATCAGCAAGGAGCAGCCGATGGCGATGGTGACGCTGAGGGCAGTAGAGTAGGCGGCATATCCTGCTGCTTCGAGGCTAGCCAGGGTGTCTGTTGTGTTGGAGACGTGAGGATTTACGTAACCTTGGTTTATCTGTACGCTGACGCAGGTGGTGACCATTGTCTCCATGGTAGTCACCGGCAGGAGGACCTCAGCAACTGTACCATTGAGGCCGGCGCGCCTTTGCATCTCTTGCGCCTTGAGGCTAGTCCTGGATAGTGGGTCTGGGCGGACTATTCCATCATAGAGGTCGTCGTCGTTATGGTTCCTGAAGAGGTTGTGACGGGCGACCACATCTTCCATGCCGGCTCGGTGAAGTTCCGGGATCAGCCGCAACCACACAGACAACTGGTGGGCTCGGAAGTGGTTCTTCATCTTGGGCTTCATACCTGCAAACAAATTTCAATTCTTATTATTAAGAATTCAATTAAATATCGATACTTATTTTATCAAATATATGAATTTATTTTAAACTATCCATGAAGATGGAATAGCAAAATTTAATACATGATTTAAATAAAATAATTTATTATCAACCATTTTACTATAAATTTTCTTTAATTAACAATTACATAACATTGATTAACTAAAAATTTCTCTATACTACGGATATAGTTCTATACCTACTTAAACACTGTGACAGATTGATAGGAAAATTAACATCAATGAATATTTAACCGTGATATAGTAGCCAAGTCCCTACCATTGCCCAAACCAAATTTAAGTCACTTTCGGATATTGGCATGCAACAGTACATGGGAAGATCTACTTACTGAAAAGCATCCGACAAATACACCAAGTTTACATATTCTTAGATGAGAATCTTCCTCCCAATCTACATATTTAGTAAGCATTGAAGAACATTCCTTCATTATGGTCATGATTTCCTGATTTCTGTTATCGTTTTTTGTTTTGTTTTTTAATTCAAATATCCTCTTATTTTAACTTTTGAAGTTTCTCAAATATCAAAAATTTATAGTCAATGCATGTGATGAAGAATCTTAACGTGATTTGATATGAAACCGACGGAAATTTCAGAATACTTCCAATATAATAAAACATTTCTAAAGTATTTTGAGTTCAATTTGATCCAAAACATTCACGAGGCATTGGAACCATTTAACATGGAAATCGGTCGAGTCGTTCGCTTAGTAATTTTTTACATTCCTGATATCCAAACGTGACCCTTCGTTTGATTAATATTCGAATAAAAAGGACTGATCAGCAATCATCTAAATTATAAATAGTGTTACTTCCTTCATATATGTTAGCTCCTTCTAACAGGTATCATTTTTAAAATATTTATTTTTTAAGAGAACAGTCTTTAAGTCGCTGAGATGATGTTAAGTCTGTAACTTTCATCTCTTCCAGCACATCTTAGTGGGAGGGAGAGAGGAGGAGTAGACGGTACCAGGAGCGTGTGCTGTATAAAGAAGGGTGGGAGGTATTGGAGATTTTAGGCTTGGAGATGAGCCAACCTATAAAATTGAATAAACGTCAGGGGCTCATCTTCTCCAGCTATTTCGCTAAACGATAATATTTACAAGATCGCCGTTCCTATTGACCTGTAGTAACCGTTACATCACAATAATTATTCGTTAAGTTTAAAAAAAAACTGTATTCAGGTAATGTTTAATAATTAATTATGAATAAGACGGTTAGAGAGAAATACTGAGATTTCTGGAAATCTTATTTTATCCTCCAAGTGGATGTACCCTATGGTAATAAGAGGCTTTTATAAACTGGGCTTGGAATGGAATAAAAACTCTAATTTTTGAAAAGTTTCGGTATCATTTTAATTTTTTCAGTTATTTTTTAAATAGAACTTTTTACTTGGCCACTTCGCAAGAAAATGCTTTACAGAATTTTGGATTTTAAAATACTTTTATTTAAAAATCTGTCGATTTCGGTAAAATGTTGAACCAAAAAAAAAAAAAAAAAAAAAATGACTCAAACAAACAGGACATTTGCAAGAAACAATTGCATTAATAATATTTAATATGTTCAAAATATCCAGCTTTTCAATATCGTGACATACTGTTCCTTTGAAGAGATTTAAGTGCTATTTAATATTTAAATATAAAATATCTACGATTTTCTAAAAGACCTTTAAAAAAACTTTAAAACAGTTTGTTTATAATAAACAACAAACAATTCCGAAACTGAGATTTGTAAATTTCAAATATTTTTATGTAATAATTTAACACTATGATGGATATAAATAAAATCTTTTTTCCTTTATCAATTATTATATTTATACTAGAGTTTAAATTATAATTAATATTTACTTTCACTTTTAAACGTGTCTGGTTGATTTGATTTTAAAATGATGTATACAATGTAAATATTATTTTTATAATAAAATTAAAATAAAAAAAAAAACATGGAAATATTGGCTAAATTTAATATGTAATAAATGTACATATATCTATCTTTGATTGTCTTGAAATGAAACAGTTAATTTTAATTATAAAATATATTTTTAAAAAATCGGGGAAATACTGGCTAGAGTCTGCTTTAATGGCACAAATATTTTTTTTATTAACTAATTTTTCAACACGCATTGCTGATAAACATCAGAATGCGGATTTAGCCATCAGGATCAGGAGAAAAAAAGAAGGCAACAAGGCTTTGTAGGCCAAATTTTCAAAGTTTTGCTTAATTATGCTGAAATCCATATGGACATACGCCCCACAAATTTTCGATTCAGCAAAAAAAGACGGACTTATAAAAATTACCACCATTTTATTCACAAACTTAATAACAAAAAACTTGGCGACTTATGACAACCAATTATCTACCAACATTTACGCACTCTTTAACTCCGATTTCACATTAATCTACACATGCTCATCAGATGGCGACTGAAAAGGAGCTGGATAAAGGGATCTGTATTTCTGAATTAAGGAAAAAATCATTGATCCGGAAAAGGTACTATTTTTTCTGATGTCTAACATGCGATTTTCAAAATTCTTATTGGCAACTTAATGATATGTGCTGATTTAGATCTGAGAGGAAAAAAAATCATATAATAATGTTGTCGGAAGTCCACACAAATCATTAAATACATTATAACTAAAAGTATCCAATAATATATGAAAGAGTTTGTTATACTGAAAAGCTAGGATTTTTTTTTAATCGTCATTAATTTAAGTAATAAATAGAAGAGAGAAATCGAATAAAATCTCTAGAAAATAAAAGTTCCACTACTATGAATTAACTGGAAATTAGATTATTTGTTAAAGCCTTAAAACGTTTTACTACAGAACAGTAGTACGCTTATGCCAGAGGTAGTAATGATTTTTGTTTTTTAATATACTCACACAAAATGTTTTAGAAGTCATTAAGGCCAATAAATATAATCATCCCTAAAACGAGTCTTAAAATTTTACTTCGAAAGTTAAAACAACTCACTTTATATAACAGGCATGTTTAGAAACAACCCTTATTAAGGAACTTACTCCAAGGAGAAAAGCTACACACAGCTGCACAGAAATTATTAATAAGAGAACACAACTAACTTAGCAGGATAAGTCTCCTTCATAAAATTACGCCACTATTAATACGAGTTTGGAAGTTTAGACCTTCTTAGACTGTACAATTATCTTAACTCGAGAAGCTGAGGGCTTTATGTAAAGTGGCCATTCTTCAGGGCTGTTGAGCCTACATTCGGCGACGAAGACGGCCCAGATAATGCCTCCAGCCCGCTCGATAATTACAGTTGTTAGGGCCGGGACTCGAATCCGGGCACTCATTTGAATAAAATCTCAATTAGAAAGAGCTATGAAGTGCTCCAAGTTTACGAGCGGAGCTACTGCCTTAATTGTACAACTATCCCGTCTTTGGTTGTCTTCTGGGACGGTGGGTCCTCTGCGAAGTCAGTTTGCTAAGCTGTTGACAGGATGCGAGGACAATGTCTTCCGGATGAATATAGACCTCGTCCCAATTTAACTTTTGAGAAAAGGAGACTTTGAAAAGCCTGTGGTTTCGAACAGCATCCTAAAAAGATCTATTAGGGTCTCTGTAATCTATATTTAGAAGATATTTGAGCACCGAAATAGTTCATGGTACAGACACCTTTATATAAAATTATCAACATCCGCTTAAGAATTCATGATTCGATTTATCTCTTTTTAACCTACAACTATTTCATTTACAAAATAAAAGTGATTATCGAAATAGGGGAGTTTCCAATCTAGATATCGACAAATTTTGTCTATTTAATTAGACACTAAAAACTGGAGGTCACTCAAAACGGACCATTATTTTTGTTAGTACAATAATTATTACTTCTAACTTACTTTACTGAGATATATTACAATCTGTCACATTCAAGGACAATGGTAATAATGATAAAGAGTAGCTCATTCATACTATGCACAATAAATAAAAGTAATAAACAGCAATAAAATAATACTAAAACGTAAATGTATATAAACAAAAATAAACTAATCTAACAAAATAAATACTTAAAAACATACATTCTAATTTGTACTAAGAATTTATATCTACGAATAGCAAACATTATCATTTTGAATACTTATATCAATTTTAGAAAAGAAACAATAATTACTATTTTTCATAACATAGACTTTTTTTAATTTTTTTCTTAACCCCTATAATATAATATTTTAAACAATTTATTTTTGTGTTGAACGCCTTTTATTGTAACTTCGTTACATTTTAAGGCCTTATTAAAATTGTGTTTATGTTTTGTATATCAAATGTATCAGTAGAGGTGATAAGCTTACCCATTTTTGTGTTTATAAGTGTCTTATTACTACTTACTAGCTAACTTACTATCTAAGATTGAAGGAAGACTGAACTTTGCCACCGAACTGGAGCCGGTGCTGGAGTTAGCGTATTGAAAAGAGGATTTGGAAGTGTTTTCAATGAGTCCATAAATTTTACATGTCGTTTTAGAATGAACTGTTCAATCGTAAGAAGTTCAAAGATTTCGTGCAGCTGATCTACCTTTAATTTTTTTAATGAAGTGTACCTAGCCATTTTTCTTAATACATAGGTAAATATTTATGGAATTAAAATACTCAAGTGTTTGAAAATAGCTCAATATAGTAAACCAGAATATTCATATAAAAATTCGATCTGAAGTACCCTCATCTCAAAAACTAATATATATAGGGAAAGCCACGCTGCCCGAGATTCCACTCTCTCCCCCCCCCCGGTATTAGAGGCTCGTCAGTCTACTGGAGGCAACTCGCACCGACCTGGCGTAGGATTGACGACCCTACACAGTACTTTAAATCGGGAATCGGATGTTTTCTAGGAGATTACACTCGCGGTCAAAGATCTTCATGGTCTGTAGAGCCAACCGAAAAAAGAAAGAAATATATATATATATATATATATATATATATATATATATATATATATATATATATATATATATATTTCATACAATATTTATTTATATTTATACATATACATATATATATATTATCACCCATGGTATGTTGAACAGTCGACTAACTTCCATCAATATTTATATAATATTTACAAATGAGGTATGCTGTGATATTCAATACAAAGCGTGAAAACTTGTGAATGGTATGTTGAACTCTAATCATCTGTGTCGTACAACTTTGTAAAACACTAAGTTGGGTAATAGAGATTATTTAAACATTTATTAAGTTATAGAACATTATCAGTTTATTGAAGAAAAAAAATGTCAAAAGCACTTTATAAATAACAAAATCATAGAAACGTAAAAGAACATCCTCCAACATAAACATTCCTAACAAATATCAATATTTATTCCCCTTTTTCCAGGGAGCAGACGTAGGCCAGAACAAATACCGTCCCTCCCTTCTTTGATTCCAGTCTCTGAAGAAGCCCCTTTTGAATTGAAGGGTTAAACTTGGGTGCAATTTAAAATGTTTTGCAAGTGTGATCAGATTTGAAAATAGTTCTTGATTTCCTGGTCTATTTTCGATATTCTTCAGACGTCAAAGAATAGCTATAGAACTGAATATAAGTGTAAATTCAATATTTTTTTATTGGTGAAATATTCAATTTTAACTAGTAATAATACTATTTGTCCAAAAAAAAATGTTAACTTAGAGTAACTATTTAAAATTGTGGTGGCACATAATTGTCACTTATTACCGTTCATAATTAGCGCAAACGTAGAATAAAATAAATGTTTAAAAAAAAAAAAAGAAATATATATATACCAACGCTTGTCAAGCAAGATATTAATCTTGAGAAACAAGAGATTAAAATGACATATTTTAGTAATTATATACATTATTTAAAAATTGTTATGAGATCCTTTGCTTAAATAAGTTTTCAAAAATACTTATAAGATTATACCAGTTATTTAAACAGTAGTGAAAATAATTTTAGATAAGTGTATATATATACCTCAGAGGTAAACAGCACCATGTCCAGATTTATATTTGTTCAAGTGAGCCAAAGTTTCATAATATTATGATGTTTAAATTCATTTCTTGGTTAGTATACCACAAGGTAAAGGATACCACGTCACAATTTTGTATTTGTTCAGGAAGCCAATTTTCCATAGCTTTGAGCTATTAAAATTTATTTAAGATACTGATAAATTATTTACTGAAGAAATAGAACTATGTATACTATACTAAATTATTTATGGAAAAAATTGACTTCGTGTCGTTTACTTCCGCGACACAAATATATATATATTTTTTTTTATTTATTTATGATATTTACAACTGTATACAAAAAATACATCTGGTAAATTCGCACATTGGTATAAAGACATGGAATACATGTTGAGAAACTACCCATTGGTAGCACTCTAATAATATGTCTATATTAGAAGATCACGCGGCCATCTTCTTTTCAGACGCCTCGGAGGGTTATCAGGAATCGAATAGGAAGCAAGGTTAGAGACAAGAGGGTTGGGATGGTTATGAAGTTTATTATGGAAGAACAGATATCTGGATTGGGCCAAATCTGATACATAAGGAACATTAAGGTCATTATGGATAATTTTATTTGTAACAAAGTAGGGAACATTGAGGATTTTACGAAGGATTTTGGATTGTAAGGATTGTATGCGAGAGAAATTTCAAGGTTTGGTGGAGCCCCATAGCTCGACACAAATATATTAAAGCAACAATGTAACTACTTTATTAACAAAATCAACCAATTTTACAAAACACTATCGAGTCAATTAAATGCACTTCATTAAAATAAAAAAAAATTAAGAAGAGCCATTTTTATTTTGATTGATCACTCCAACCATCCTTCTCTTCATTATTCACTACAGTCAACCATCATTCCACAATTAAAAAAGTTAAGAATGGACCATGAAAATGTAAAATAAAAAGTTATTGGTTTTATCAAAATTTATTTTCCTTTGAAATACCCTATTTATTTGCTTAATATATTTCATTTAATACAGAAATTAGATGACTGGTATATAAATTTTTATATAATACTATAAGTTATTTCTATACATCTTCAAAGTAGGAATACATTATTTTATATATAATTACTCATTTCCGTTATTATTCAATTTAATTTTATTTATTATATTAATAAAGGGGAGCGAGGTAGCTCAGTGGTTGAGCAGTGATTCCCAGAGCTCATGGTTCCAGGTCCGAATCAGGCTGATTAATAGTAATTTTACATCAGCCGAACTTGTGGCCGGGAGACCCTCCTAGGGCAAACGCAGCCTCTATAAAGTGGGTAATCTTAATTAGATAATTAATTAATTAAGGTGGAAAACCTGGCGGTTGAGCGTAATATTAGCCCATCACCTCCTTGCACAACCGTAACAGTACTTCCTCATATTGTAATATATATGCCCTGATTCGTGGCATCTGACTTCTGATTCACCACTTCGCTTATAAATGTTTTATAAACGTATCTACAGTGGAAAATAACAATGTTAATTCCTGTTTATTAACTTCGTTATGAATAATGTATGGGGCGAATGGTCACCCGGTATAATATGTTTTATTTAAATATCTAACATAAAATATTTTCACTTGAAAAATTATTTTATATAAAACAGGTATGATTTCACAGGCGTAGATGTAAAAATAGATGAAGATTGAGATTAAATCTGTCTTCATCTGTCCCAATTATGAACTATTTATTGTTTAGAAAAAAATATTTATTGAAATACTAAATTTATCAGTTTAAACAGAGTTAAAGTTATAATATTATTATAAAAAACAAATACACATAATACTACCCCTATATCTGCGTGATAACAAAAATTACTTAAAGTAAATCTTTCTGTATGATTGGAGTTTAAACAATAAGTTATAATTAATCTAGCTTTTGACTTGTTGAAGATAAGATAGTAAAGTAATAAATATTATTAAAGGAAATGTAATATTAGACAACTTTCTTAGTTATGACTTCAAGTATGAGTAAAATGAAAAGATGAAGAGTTAAGGAGTCAAATAATGATATAAATGCTAGGAAAAACAATTTTTTTTCAAAGTTAGTGAATTACGAGAACGAATATCACGGAAATAATAGTATATAGCGAAACAACTAATATAACCTTTTCTGTTGTAAAAATTATCAGCTATAATTTCACTACAATACCATTATCAATTGAACACATAGTTTCACTGATAGATGCAAAAAACAGAAAAAAAGAAAACTTTTTGAATCGTAAATTCAATTTTACTCGGTCACAAATATGAACTATTTATTGTTTAGAAAAAACTATTTATTGAAGTATTTATGATTTTTAACAGAGTTTAAAGTTAAGATATCATTATGAATAAAAAAA